TGCCAGCAGGATAAATCGGAAAATTTCTTCTGTCTACTTTGAATTTCTAAAGTGTACTCTTCATGGTGTCAGCGAAGCATTCTGTCTCTCTGTTCGACTGTGAGTAAAACGGCAGCGAACGTACATGAGTTACACCATACCCCCGACAAAACTCTGCGGAGGTGAATGATGTGAACTGACTGCCTTTGTCCTCTAGCTTCCTAAAGCCGCCGATAGACGTCGGAACTCTTGGATTTTAATGGCAGTGGGACGATTTCTGACTACGTGCTATAGACGTCGACTAAAACCCAAAAATGTTGACCACCAACTGCACCTGCGTAGTCGATATATTGACGGGACCAGGTTTCCGTCGGTTGTGTCCACGACCGCAGGCGATTTAGGTGCTTCACCACACTGCATGCAAGTTAGAGACATCCTATCCACATTGTTGGAAGATGGGGCTGAAGTCCCCAGTCAGCGCTTGTCTCATCTGTTTGCTTGTATTTGGGAAAAGGAGTCTGTCCCAGACAACTGGAGAGAGTCGGTGATAATGCCAATTTTGAAAAAAAAACGGCTCGTGGTGAGCGGTATCCACAATTAGAAAGAAAGCGAGGTTTCAGTTGTGCGACGTGTACTTCCACTGAAGTATGTGTCCAGCACCAGAAGCTGTTTTGATTGGAATATGCGTTGCGTATGCCGAAGAGAGTGCTGTTTTGTCTATAGGTGTAGGCACCTCGGAGTGATTATAGTAAAGTGGAACTAAGTCCCTTCGGCATCCACCTTTATTCTTTCCTTTACAATGAGGCTTTCAAACAATGGTTGTATGGCTGTGAAGCATCAGTGTGGGCGCTGGTGCTTATGATGGTCATGAATTGAATGTGGGCACCTGGGACATTCTTGACAGTCTAGTCCTAGTCCTCTTTCTGTTATAAGGCATTTTTCAAATAAATTGACATGGTTGTATAACAGTGAAGCAGCAGTGTTCTCTGGTGCTTCTGGCAATGTGATGGGTATCCCACCATCTTCTGACGATGATGATGATTGATACAGCTGGACAATTATTATTATTAATGTGATGAGACCTGGGGGTTAAGTCATACTGTCTTCTGCAATACGGGTGTAAAGGCAGTAAGATGTTTCCCCCGATCGTCCAGGATGTCCATATTCATGGAAGCGTCGAAGACGAGCGGGTTAGAAAACGCCGCACACTGCAATCGCTCAATGGTAGACCGTGACCGCTGGTGCATTATTGAATACTGTCGAGACGCTTGAAACCACAGGGTCCGGTGCTGCTCAGAAGTCACCTGCTATGCGCTGCCGCATTAGGTGCTAGACAGTAATGTCTTATCGCCTGTGCCTTAGGGTTAGGCCAGCCCGAGGTGTGGCACCTCAGCCAACTCTCTTTTCTTTGCCTAGACAACCTGGAAATGTTTGTCCGCATAGTTCTTTGTCCATAGATATTTCAGTGTGGTGTTTCATCTCAGAAAGTCAAGAATGAATTGAGCTGTTTCATACTTTAACTGTCCGTCTGTCCGGTTATTTAGAAGTGATATATTGTAGAATACATGGCGTGCAAGTTGCACGCTGAACGCTTTTCGCTGGGTTGGATTCTAGTGAATAGTCGTTTAATCATCGAACCCTTTTCAAAGGATGGGGAGAATCCCTGTTGGCCCATCTGATAAAAGTGATTAGTGCAGTATGCATCGATCACGTTTCCATTCTCCGTCAGATACTAGAACAGCGACACTTCCAGCAACCTTCAGTGATGTTTGACTCTGGACCGTCAGATACTATGACGGTGTCTGTGGAGGAAATTCTCGACCCTCAAAGGTGCTGTACTCCAACTGCCGTGGATGTGTGAAGGTCCGCAGGAAGCTTTAGTCTGACTTCACTACATCGAGTGGGTACACCGAAAGGGTACTACGGACAACCAGTTGTCACCAACAGTACTTTGGGTATCACTTTTACCACTTGTCTTTTTTAAATCTGTTTGCAAGGACCTTGCTATTTTGACAATAGCTGCGTGGAACCCGGCCTGCACCTTAAGTATGGATAAAATGAGTAAACCAGTATTGTCCAGTGTCTAGTTCTGAAGATGGAACTACCTGGGAGAACCGACTACACAGGCTCAAAGTACTCAAGTATTCTTACCAAGGGGGTAAAATGTAGGGCCTCAAGCGTTAGGTGACGGTGCACGGGCCTCTTTGGATTGACGGGGAATTTGTGCAGTGTCAAAGGATAGTTTCTAGTCATGATGAGACGAATTTTTGCATTGTACTTTGACACTGATCCGTTGATGTTCGGGATGTCGTACCCCTGTTCGTTTGTGATAGAAGTTGCAACAAAGTTACCATTTTTTGGAAAATAATAAGACAATCGTTCAGCTATAAAACCCTATCGGTGCCTAGCTGCCATGCCGCCTGAAGGAAGCACGAAGCCTGCGATACCACGGACCTTCCGGTCAGTAAATTCGCGTTATAGCCACTGAGCTATGTCGTCCCCATTTCTTGGGAAGAGCGCTCAGGTTCAGACATTCAAGGAGATGGTTCGAACCCGACCCCGGCATCCTGGTAGGTCAAGTCTGCCTTACAGAAACGCAACTTTCGTGATCCTTTTGGGTGGCATGGCAGCTCAGCATAGAGCCTAACAGCTGACTAATTTCATTGTCCACTGTACAATGTTTATAGTATTGACCGTATCAAATAGGACAGTTGATATAAAATACAGAAGTGCACAGCGGACTTAGGATTAATTTGCACATTTGATTGAAGATTCATCAGGTGGTCACTATAATCTAAGGTTTTGACAGACTCCTTAAACAAATACTCCCATCGGTTTTGGCTAAGTCTCTCGAGTAGTCTATATTGGCTGGTTTCCATGACTTTCCTGTCAATGCAAAAGCACGAAAATTCCCAGTTTCTGAACTTTTGTGCTAGGCACAAAGGGCGTTAAGCGTGACTTTTGTTCTTATGGGCCAGATCATCTTTCTGTACAAGCCACTGATCCCCACAATGATTTCGATAATTGCTATAGCTGTCCTGCCTTGTTCTCTGAATTTATTCGGCTAATATATGGGGATCCAGTGAATTCCAGCCGCTTTGAGTCTTACACCCGTGAGATGAGCTCTTCAGCTGCACGTTTAGCAGAGAGCACGAATTTACTGACTGGAAGCTCCATGGTTCGAATCCGACCTCTACCTCTCAATTTCCCCTGTCTAGGCTTGGGCAACCTGGCAGTTTCCCAGCCCTCATGCTTCCTTCTGTGTGACGTGGGAGTTAGGCACCGAAAAGGCAGTGAACGATTTTTTTTATAGCACAACTGGTCCTGCGACTTTCTGGTTATCATTTGCAGACTTTTGGCTGCAAAACTCCTCGTGTACCGTTTGCTGTGATACATTCTGTCTTTCCTACTTCCAACCTATAGTCCGCATCTCCCCGTCCTTACACTGACTCATCTGGCGTTAATCCAACCGGCCATGGTTCAGCTGTTGCAAGTGAGCGCGACAGAGAAAAGCATGATCGCGAATTTCGTCTGTTGAGCAGTAATGTCCCATCTGCTTACGACATCCAACCAGATGCGAACCCCGGTGCACCGATAACTGGAGGCGGCTCTGGTATGCCTTTACTCGATGTCAGTCACAAACGTCTGGACCTAGATTTCATGAAGCTGCGAACATGTGGCACCAGCTACCGCGCTCTTCCATCTAATTTCCCTCAAAGTAAATGTTCAGGACGACTGAAATGTCCGATTGCCAGAGAGGTGAGTGGAAGGTTTGCTCATTCATACGGAATTCGTAGAAGTCAGTGTTAACGGAAGACGTTTGAGGATATCGTAAACGGGGGGTTCAGTTTAGCCTCATTAACACCAGAGTAACTCCCAACTAAGTGTATCTCAGTGTTTTGAGTGAAAGCAAACTTGAAATAATAACTCGATTCTTTTAACCCGAATAGTCTCTACCGATTCAAGTCAAGAATAGCCCTGTACAGTTCGAGGGGTAATTTTGGGCACATACCTGCTGAGTGGTACCAATGTGGTCCAGAGGGAGTAGCTTAAATGGAAAATGTGGCATCACGCGATGGGTCCGGATCGACACGGCCATGTAGGGAATCACAGAATTCCAGTGGTTCTTGTAGATATGAGTTTATATTTGAACCCTCGTGCAAGATGGCTTGAAATCAAATGAGATGCAGGGGATGTTGGCCTTCAGATAGGGTTACCTGGGTACGGTTGTTACAACGTCAAAGTGCTTTCTGACCGTAAACTTTCAGAGATTCCATTGTACTTACAGAAGTGTTTCGGGCCAGGGAATGTAGCGGGATAACAGTAACTTCATGGGTGAATCCACTCAAGTATGTAACGGATGGCGCTCAGTCTTAGCGTACACAAGAGTGTGCTTTCTTTGGTAAAAACAGTTTGAAGATGAGGTGATTAACTGGACTTTCAAGCTTAGGTTACCTGGTGGCGTTTCACCTTAATGGTTATAAGCGGTGACAAGTTGTCAGCTTTGTCACTTTGCCTACTTCAACAGTTAGGGGACTGTTCTCAGGACTGTGTAAAGCGTTCACTCAATCCAGTGTGCGGCCTCACGTGAACGGCAATAGTCACTAAATTACGATAGGAGGAATCAACAACAGATTGGTCGTGGCTTTAAAGTACACAAATAGAGTGGGGGATCCGTAGCGCTATGTAGAAGCCTATTTGAGCTGGTAGTTGTGAGGATTTTCTGTTGGCAAATTGGTTATGTACAGGCTCGCTGCAACATTGCTCGATGGTACTATTAGTGAGAAGTTGTAACAGACGATCAAGATTGATATTGCTGAGGGTCTCCATGCAATTTGGAAACATAAATGCGTGATCTTGGTTTCTGTTAGACACTACAGGATCGGAATGCAGTTTTTGATAAACTTGCGAGTGTACATTTGCAGCCGGCTGGCTAGGGTTTGTTTTCGATAAAATCATAGTTTCAAACAGTCTTAAAGCTGTATGTTTGCAGATTATCTCTTAATATCGAGGTATCCTTCCGTTAGTGAAGCCCCTATTTCAATAGAACGGTGACAGGTTTAGTGAGGGTGTCCACACAACATTTTAGGCATAGGGGTGATTCAAGGACACTTCCAGCAAGTGTACATCAATCTTGAATTCTTTCGTGGAGGAGACCACCGCACAGGAGTCACCCCTTTGAAGTTGTCTCCCAGAGTTGGGGGTACTTGTGCCCAATTTTCTAAAATGGTCTTCCGTAAGCCAATTCAACTGCCTAATAGCCCATACGTGTCACTTTCAGGTACTGAATGACTCCTATATCAGTTTTTCCTCACTCACGTCCGAAGACTCGCAGTTTGTTTCTTCGAAGAAGAACCAATATGAAGAGCACATGTATCGTGTTGAGGACGAACGCTATGAAGTTGACATGGTTACTGAGTTGAACCGAGCAGCTATGCAGAACCTAGTTGTAGTGAAACGGCGAATGGACCGGATGGGCCAGGACGAGCTCAACCGGTTTACTCTCGACGACAACCTCAGCGGCACGTCGGCCATTCTTATGCGAAAGGCGATTCACAGGCAAGTTTCGCCAGTTGTCGTGACCAGTACTCGTTTTCATATACCTTCACGCTTGCAGCAAATTTTTTCCTTACGGCTACCTGTGTGGTTTTCCATCAGCGACATTCCAAACATCAGTGAAAAACCGTGGTCCTCAGCTCCTTAGCTTTGTGCCTCTCTCTTTGACTATCATCCCACTTTACTTTATGAGCTCCGAACTATGCTTGCCTATGATCAAAGTCATCTCACCTTCCGAATTATTACCTCAAATCATCCGTTCCAATACTGGAGTAATTTGCTGTACGTTTTGTTTCACAGTTAGTAAAACAAATCTAGTGTACTTCAGACAGTGAGACGTACTCAGTCGATGTTACATAAGCCTATACCTTCAAATCCGACGCCCTTTGATTGTCTGAAGTTCTCCCCTGGTGACCCCTCGGGTTTAGAACCAGAGATAACCAACACTTGCCTTCGAGAGCCAGGATATGTAGTATCTAGCATCTAGTTTGCGGTTCAACATTTTGAGTCTCCTGCTAAGTGGTATCCTTGCTTGACCCACCACAACGCGTACTAGTGTTTATTCTTTGTATGAGCGACTGGTGTGGTACGTAGGACGATCTCTGATGGGAAGCTACACATCCTCTCTATATATGCTTCCACAAGCGCTGGTTTATCCAACGTACGCCCGCTCTAAGAGTCGGAGTTTAGGCTAAAAAGCTTCAATCAGTGGTATTGTTTATGATTGCTCTGTTCCATGGAGGTCGCCGTTTTCGCTAACCTGTCACCCATCGAGGTTTCGTGATTTCTATGTGACAGCCTTGTGTGATTTGAAAATTCCCCAGTCCTACAGCCCCTTTGTGACCGCGGCCACTATGAACTTTTTATTCTTGCAGGTGTATTAGAAACACCGAAACATCTGGATCACCCCCTACTGAGTATCGCTTTCAGGATCTCATGGTGAATGATCTCTTGATCCCCAACTTGATCCTTCACAAAGTAGTCCGTCACAACAACCTGACTGCGTCTTTCAGACACGGTCACTCTCGTAGGATATTCTAGTCACTTTCCTCCCCAGGTGTGAATTTAATGAATCTGAATTTTCAGCTAGTTGTGTACGGATCGCAAGTTTTCGTTGTTCACTAGCGCATTCATTTCAATCGTTCTTGGGTCATGCTCAGTGCGCTGGTCGGAACGTGGTCTGTCTACATGTTTGTAGAAGCTTTCGTTGTAATGCATCTGCTTAGTTTAGCGTTCCTGTGCGCTCAGGTGCATTCTCTATCCGCCGTCGAGAAAGAGGATTCAAATGCTGTCCTTCAATTGACTGGAACGAACGGTAGTCCTCTCAGTGTCGGTGACATTTTTGTCAACTGGCGAGGGATGTGGAACAACGATCCCGAACCTGTGGTATCACTGGCATCATTATCATCATCGACAGCATGACATCAGTGTCCAACACCGATGCTTCACTGCCGTACAACCATGACTTATTTGAAAGCCTTATTGTGAAGAAAAGAATAAAGGTGGATGGGGGAGGGACTTAGTGCTAGCTTAACACAATCATTCCGAGGTGCCTACACCTCCAGACATTCATTCAGACAATCTGGATAGAAACTGACAACAAGAACGCCATTGACATCGGTTGGCAGCCATATCTTGTAGTGTCTCCAACCAAACACAGTGAGGATTACGCCGTCCTCATCCTGGAAGGCGAGTAGCACCGACAGCACCCAAGCGTTTCGTGATCTC